GGGAATGGGAACGGGAATGGGAATGGGAATGGGAATGGGAACGGCATGGCGCTGGCCAAGTGAGCGGGAATGGGATCGGGATCGGGAATGGGAATGGGATTGGGAATGGGATCGGGAATGGGATCGGGAATGGGATTGGGAATGGGAATGGGAATGGGATTGGGAATGGGAACGGGAATGGGAATGGGAATGGGAACGGGAACGAGATCGGGAATGGGAATGGGATCGGGAATGGGAACGGCATGGCGCTGGCCAAGTGAGCGGGAATGGGAATGGGATCGGGAATGGGAATGGGAATGGGAACGGGAACGAGATCGGGAATGGGAATGGGATCGGGAATGGGAACGGCATGGCGCTGGCCAAGTGAGCGGGAATGGGAATGGGATCGGGAATGGGAATGGGAATGGGAACGGGATCGGGAATGGGATTGGGATTGGGAATGGGAACGGGAATGGGAATGGGAACGGCATGGCTCTGGCCAAGTGAGCGGGAATGGGAATGGGAACGGGAATGGGATTGGGATTGGGAATCGGGAATGGGAACGGGATCGGGAGTGGGAATGGGAACGGCATGGCGCTGGCCAAGTGAGAGGGAAAGGGATCGGGAATGGGATTGGGAATGGGAACGGGAATGGGAATGGGAATGGGAACGGGAATGGGATTGGGAACGGGAACGGCATGGTGCTGGCCAAGTGAGCGGGAGCGAGAACGGGAATGGGAATGGGAATGGGATTGGGATCGGGAATGGTAACGGCATGGCCCTGGCCAAGTGAGCGGGATTGGGATTGGGAATGGGAATGGGGATGGGGTCAGGAATGGGATCGGGAATGGATCCAGGCGGGATCAGGATCCGGGAATAGATCCAGGTGGGAATGGGACTAGATCCAGGTGAGATCAGGGTTCAGGAATGGATCCAGGTGGGATCAGGATCTGGGAAAGAACCAGGTGGGATCAGGATCCGGGAATGGATCCAGGTGGGATCAGGGTCCAGGAACAGATCCAGGTGGGATCTGGGAATGGATCCAGGTGGGATTGGGAATGGATCCAGGTGGGATTGGGAATGGATCCAGGTGGGATCAGGAATGGGAATGGGGATGGGGATGGGAATGGGAATGGGAATGGATCCAGCTGGGATCAGGATCCAGAAACAGATCCAGGTGGGATCTGGGACTAGATCCAGGTGGGATCAGGATCCGGGAATGGATCCAGGTGGGATCTGGATCCGGGTGGGATCAGGGTCCGGGAACGGATCCAGGTGGGATTGGGAATGGATCTGGGTGGGATCAGGATCTGGGAATGGATCCAGGTGGGATCAGGATCCGGGAATGGATCCAGGTGGGGTCAGGATCCGGGAACAGATCCAGGTGGGATCCAGGAACGGATCCAGGTGGGATTGGGAATGGATCTGGGTGGGATCAGGATCTGGGAATGGATCCAGGTGGGATCAGGATCCGGGAATGGATCCAGGTGGGGTCAGGATCCGGGAACAGATCCAGGTGGGATCCAGGAACGGATCCAGGTGGGATTGGGAATGGATCTGGGTGGGATCAGGATCTGGGAATGGATCCAGGTGGGATCAGGATCCGGGAATGGATCCAGGTGGGGTCAGGATCCGGGAACAGATCCAGGTGGGATCCAGGAACGGATCCAGGTGGGATTGGGAATGGATCCAGGTGGGATCAGGATCCGGGAATGGATCCAGGTGGGGTCAGGATCCGGGAACAGATCCAGGTGGGATCCAGGAACGGATCCAGGTGGGATTGGGAATGGATCCAGGAGGGATCTGGGAATGGGGATGGGGATGGGAATGGGAATGGATCCAGGTGGGGTCAGGATCCAGGAACAGATCCAGGTGGGATCCAGGAACGGATCCAGGTGGGATTGGGAATGGATCCAGGTGGGATCAGGAATGGGGATGGGGATGGGATTGGGAATGGATCCAGGTGGGATCAGGATCCGGGAATGGATCCAGGTGGGATCTGGGAATGGATCCAGGTGGGATCAGGATCCGGGAACGGATCCAGGTGGGATCTGGGAATGGATCCAGGTGGGATCTGGATCCGGGTGGGATCAGGGTCCAGGAACAGATCCAGGTGGGATCAGGGAACGGATCCAGGTGGGATTGGGAATGGATCCAGGTGGGATCTGGGATCCAGGTGGGATCAGGATCCAGGTGGGATCAGGATCCAGGTGGGATCAGGATCCAGGAATGGATCCAGGTGGGATCTGGGAATGGATCCAGGAGGGATCTGGGAATGGATCCAGGTGGGATCCGGGAAGGAATCCAGGTGGGATCAGGATCTGGGAGTGGATCGAGGTGGGATCAGGGTCCGGGAATGGATCCAGGTGGGATCTGGGAACGGATCCGGGTGGCATCAGGAATGGGAATGGGGATGGGGATGGATCCAGGTGGGGTCAGGATCCGGGAACGGATCCAGGTGGGATCAGGGAACGGATCCAGGTGGGATCAGGGTCCGGGTGGGATCAGGGTCCGGGAACGGATCCGGGCGGATCCCAGGCTGGGAATCCTGACGCCGAGCTCTCCCCGCTCCCAGTTTAGGAGCCGTGTCCGAGGTGACGGCGGCCGGAGTCATCGGCACCGGCACCCACAACACCGGGATCGAGCACGGGATCCTGCCCACCCAGGTGGGATTCCCAAATCCGGGAATCCTCCCACCCGCCCCCCGAAATCCGCGCCGGGACTGCAGGGGTGGAGAGGGAGGAGGGAATCCTGGGAATATTCCGGAGCTGGGGGAAATTGGGATGGTGGAAATCCATGGAATGGGAGATTCCAAACAAAATTACCATCAAAAAGTTTTTTTTAAAAAATTCTCAAAAATTAATTTTTAAAAAATCCCAAAAATATCCCCAAAAATCTCCAAAAAAATTAAAAAAAAATCCAAACAGAAATTCCCAAAAAGGTAAAAAAATTCTGATAAATTCCCTCGAAAAGATCCCCAAAAAAATCTAAAAAATATAAAAAAAAATCCCCCCAAAAATCTCAAAAACATCCCAAATATCAAAAAAGAAAAATCTCCCCAAAATTTCCCAAAAACCCCCAAAACATCAGAAAAAAATCCTTTATAAAGCTGGAAAATATTCCCAATAAAATCCAAAAAAGCAAAAATAAAAACCCCATAAAATTTTTTTTAAATCCTCAAAAATCCCAAAAACCACAAAAAAATTCAAAAAAATCTCCAAATATTAAAAAAAATCCCCAAAAAATCCTCAAAAATCCCCGCACAAAAGTGTCCAAAATTCCACAAAATATTCTAAAAAATGCTCCAAAAATCCACCAAAAATGCCCCAAAAATCCCCAAAAATACCCCAAAAATTCCCAAAAAATTCCAAAAAATCCCAATTTTTGTGGCCAGGTGGTGGCGCTGTCGCTGCTGGTGGCCTCGGGGGAGGTTCTGGAATGTTCCGGCTCCGTGAACCCGGAGCTTTTCCCTCAGAAAGCCCCAAAAAAATCCCAAAAAAGCAAAAGTAAAAAAGCCAGAAAAAAATTTTTAATCCACAAAAAATCACCAAAAAATATCCCAAAAAAACCTCAAAAAATACCCCTAAAAAACACCAAAAAAATCAAAAAATCCCCAAATATCCCCAAAAAAACCTCCAAAATCAAATCCACCAAAAATCCTCCAAAAATCCTGAAAAAAAATTCCCCGAATATTTAAAAAAATTCACAAGAAATTCCACAAAAAATCCAAAAAATGCCCAAAAAAATCACGCCGAGCTCTCCCCGCTCCCAGTTTAGGAGCCGTGTCCGAGGTGACGGCGGCCGGAGTCATCGGCACCGGCACCCACAACACCGGGATCGAGCACGGGATCCTGCCCACCCAGGTGGGATTCCCAAATCCGGGAATCCTCCCACCCGCCCCCCGAAATCCGCGCCGGGACTGCAGGGGTGGAGAGGGAGGAGGGAATCCTGGGAATATTCCGGAGCTGGGGGAAATTGGGATGGTGGAAATCCATGGAATGGGAGATTCCAAACAAAATTACCATCAAAAAGTTTTTTTTAAAAAATTCTCAAAAATTAATTTTTAAAAATCAAAAAAATATACCCAAAAATCCCCCCCAAAAATAAAAAAAAAATCCAAACAGAAATTCCCAAAAAGGTAAAAAAATTCTGATAAATTCCCTCGAAAAGATCCCCAAAAAAATCTAAAAAATATAAAAAAAAATCCCCCCAAAAAGCCCGTAAAATTCACACGAAAAGCAGCCCCAAAATCCCCAAAAATCACCCCAAAAATATAAAAAAAAATCCCCCCAAAAATCTCAAAAACATCCCAAATATCAAAAAAGAAAAATCTCCCCAAAATTTCCCAAAAACCCCCAAAACATCAGAAAAAAATCCTTTATAAAGCTGGAAAATATTCCCAATAAAATCCAAAAAAGCAAAAATAAAAACCCCATAAAATTTTTTTTAAATCCTCAAAAATCTCAAAAACATCCCAAATATCAAAAAAGAAAAATCTCCCCAAAATTTCCCAAAAACCCCCAAAACATCAGAAAAAAATCCTTTATAAAGCTGGAAAATATTCCCAATAAAATCCAAAAAAGCAAAAATAAAAACCCCATAAAATTTTTTTTAAATCCTCAAAAATCCCAAAAACCACAAAAAAATTCAAAAAAATCTCCAAATATTAAAAAAAATCCCCAAAAAATCCTCAAAAATCCCCGCACAAAAGTGTCCAAAATTCCACAAAATATTCTAAAAAATGCTCCAAAAATCCACCAAAAATGCCCCAAAAATCCCCAAAAATACCCCAAAAATTCCCAAAAAATTCCAAAAAATCCCAATTTTTGTGGCCAGGTGGTGGCGCTGTCGCTGCTGGTGGCCTCGGGGGAGGTTCTGGAATGTTCCGGCTCCGAGAACCCGGAGCTGTTCCGGGCGGCGCGGCTGCACCTGGGGGCGCTGGGCGTGGTCCTCGACGTCACCTTCCAGTGCGTGCCGGAATTCCGGCTGCGCGAGGTCGCCTTCCCCTCCACCCTCAGCCAGGTAGGCAGCTCCCAGAATTCCCAAAATTCCCAAAATTCCCAAAATTCCCAAAATTCCCATGGGAATGGAGGAAAAATTCCCAGAATTTCGTCAGAGGGAAAAAATTCCTGGAATTTTTTGGAGAATGAGGGAAAAAATTCCTGGAGTTTTCTTGGGAATGGGGGGAAAAAAAACTCTGGGAATTGCCCTTGGAATTTCCTTGGGAATGGGGGAAAATTCCCAGAATTTCCTTGGGAATTTCCTTGGGAATCAGGAAGAACACTCGGGGAATTCCCGCTTGCAATTTCCTTGGGAAGGAGGAAAAAAATTATTAGAATTTCCTTGGGAATGGGGAAAAATTCCTGGAATTTCCTTGGGAATGGGGGGGAAAAAACCTCTGGGAATTGTCCTTGGAATTTCCCTGGGAATGGGGGAAAATTCCCGGAATTTCCTCGGGAATGAGGAAAATTCCCCCAATTCCGGCTGCGCGAGGTCGCCTTCCCCTCCACCCTCAGCCAGGTAGGCAGCTCCCAGAATTCCCAAAATTCCCATGGGAATGGGGGAAAAATTCCCGGAATTTCCTCAGGAATTGCCTCAGGAATCAGGAAAATATTTGGGGAATTCCCACTTGTAATTTCCGCAGGAATGGGGGAAAATTGGTGGAATTTTTTGGAGAATGAGGGAAAAAATTCCTGAAATTTTTTGGAGAATGAGGGAAAAAATTCCTGCAGTTTCCTTGGGAATGGGGGGAAAAAACTCTGGGAATTCCTTGGGAATTTCCTCAGGAATTTCCTTGGGAATCAGGAAAAAACTCTGGGAATTCCTGCTCACAATTTCCTTGGGAAGGAGGGAAAAAATTATTGGAATTTCCACAGGAATGGGGAAAAATTCCTGGAATTTGTTTGGAGAATGAGGGAAAAAAATCCTGGAGTTTCCTTGGGAATGGGGGGAAAATCTCTGGGAATTGCCCTTGGAATTTCCTTTGGAATGGGGGAAAATTTCCTGAATTTCCTTGGGAATTTCCTTGGGAATCAGGAAGAACACTCGGGGAATTCCCGCTTGCAATTTCCTTGGGAAGGAGGAAAAAAATTATTAGAATTTCCTTGGGAATGGGGAAAAATTCCTGGAATTTCCTTGGGAATGGGGGGGAAAAAACCTCTGGGAATTGTCCTTGGAATTTCCCTGGGAATGGGGGAAAATTCCCGGAATTTCCTCGGGAATGAGGAAAATTCCCCCAATTCCGGCTGCGCGAGGTCGCCTTCCCCTCCACCCTCAGCCAGGTAGGCAGCTCCCAGAATTCCCAAAATTCCCATGGGAATGGGGGAAAAATTCCCGGAATTTCCTCAGGAATTGCCTCAGGAATCAGGAAAATATTTGGGGAATTCCCACTTGTAATTTCCGCAGGAATGGGGGAAAATTGGTGGAATTTTTTGGAGAATGAGGGAAAAAATTCCTGGAGTTTTCTTGGGAATGGGGGGAAAAAAAACTCTGGGAATTGCCCTTGGAATTTCCTTGGGAATGGGGGAAAATTCCCAGAATTTCCTCAGGAATTTCCTCAAGAATCAGGAAAAAAATTCGGGGAATTCCCGCTTGTAATTTCTGCAGGAATGGGAAAAATTGGTGGAATTTTTTGGAGAATGAGGGAAAAAATTCCTGGAGTTTCCTTGGGAATGAGGAAAAAACTCTGGGAATTCCTTGGGAATTTCCTCAGGAATTTCTTCGGGAATCAGGAAGAACACTCGGGGAATTCCCGCTTGCAATTTCCTTGGGAAGGAGGGAAAAAATTATTGGAATTTCCTCAGGAACGGGGAAAAATTCCTGGAATTTTTTTGGAGAATGAGGAAAAAAATTCCTGGAGTTTTCTTGGGAATGGGGGGAAAAAACCTCTGGGAATTGCCCTTGGAATTTCCTTGGGAATGGGGGAAAATTCTCCCAATTCCGGCTGCGCGAGGTCGCCTTCCCCTCCACCCTCAGCCAGGTAGGCAGCTCCCAAAATTCCCAAAACTCCCTTGGGAATGGGGGAAAAATTCTGGGAATTTCCTGAATCTTTTCCCAATTTCTCAAAATCCGTTCCCACTTTTCCTCCATCCTCCAGGGTTTCCCCTCCATCCTTTCCCACATTCCCTGGATCCTTTCCCACATTCCCAATCCCATTTTCCCAATCCCAAATTCCCGTTTTCCAGGGAAGCAGCTGGTGCCCTGCACGGTGCAGCCGCTGTTCCTGGTGGATTATCCCAATCCCGCATTCCCAATCCCACAATCCCAATCCCACATTCCCAATCCGAATCCCACATTCCCAATCCCAAATTCCCGTTTTCCAGGGAAGCAGCTGGTGCCCTGCACGGTGCAGCCGCTGTTCCTGGTGGATT